ATGCTGAAGGTGAGGTACAATTCATATTTCTTCATTAAATAACTTATAAAGTAATTTGAAAAGCTTATGCGAGACGTAATTTCAATTTCTTTTTAATTCTTGCCAGTGTTTAACCATTCAGCACTTGTGCGCTCTCCTGGAGACTGTGCGCTCATGCACACTTGAAGCGCACACACATAACGCCAGGTTCACACGTTCTCCGTTTGCAGTGTGTATGCGGTGTGTATTTTTTCTGCGCTCATGTTAATGAATCAGAGCGTTCACACTGCACACGGTTGCGGTCCGGCAGTGCGCTCCATGAGTGGTGCGGTGCATCTGCAGCAACGCAGAGATCGTTTCCACACCGAGTTTAAGTGAGTTTGAATTAAAGTGACAGCGCATTGTTTGCGGTAAATATGAACATGGATTGACACGAAATGTAGTAATTACACCATAAATGCCTATAATTAAAGTCTACTGTGTTTCACAGTCAACACATATGTCTTTTTGGCTAGGGTTTAAAGGAAAAGAGCACTTTTAGATAAACAAGGCAATAATAGATGGCACTCGTGGAGGTAGTAAAACAAAGTTCTTTATGAACCGCAGGATTGCTTGTAATAAAGATTTAAATGCAAAAGAAAAGGCAGTAGAGCTGAATGGTAAGTTTTCATTTAGAATGTTTGTGATAACGTAAGAAAAAGTTTAAATGTTTTGCCACTTGCTTGAGCAACTTAATATGTAAATCTAGCAGTAAATGCAAAAGTCAAAAGCATTGAATAATGTGTTGCTTATATTTATTACGTTTAAACACATCTATGAAAGATTGTATTACTGTACTGTGAAAAAAAAAAATCACAATGCTGAAAAAGCATTTTCAGTAGCAATGTTTGGATTTGAAATCAAAATAATGGATAAATGTTGTGTTGGTGGTAAACAGCCACGGATCAGTAGCGGATTCAGTGTGAAAGTACAAAGCACTGCAAACGGAGTATGTGTGAACCTGGCGTAAAAGTCTGCCTCACATACAGCTCACGAAATCAGGCTTGTGCTGTGTGTAGGCTATCGTGCAACAATTGCTCGATTGTAAAAACAAAAATGCACTGCATAATCAAACATTTACGTGAGATAAATATATATTTTTTTAAATGTCTAAAAATGCGACATTTTTAGACATTTCAAAAATGTCTAAAAATCCACCCCCCTCCACCCCTAAAATAAAATAAAAATCCCTCTCACAAGAGTTACCTAAGAGGAGAATTCCCCCCATTTTCAAAAATGAAATTCAGGCCCTGAATAAATCCTGATTGGAGTATCACTATAAATAATTTTACATGATAAAAAAAAGAAGGCTTTAAAAAGATTGGTATCGGTGATTGCATCGGCAGATACTGCTTTCTGTGATCGGCAATCGGTGATCGGCCTCAAAAATCCTGATCGGAGCACCCCTAATAATTACATGCAAGTAACCCTAAAACAATCCCTAATCCTAATCTTAACCCTAACCAATATAGTGAGTACATGAAGGTAATTAATATTACTCAGTACTTAAATGTATTAAATATACTGTAACAAGGACACCTTAAAATAAATAAAATAAATGTTTATTATATATATTTGTTCATATGTATATCCGGTTTATATACATATACTTCTACATATACATATATGAAACAAAAAGAGTATGACAATATTTTTTACATATTAGCGAATCTAAAATGACACATAAGATTAATAAAAAAAAATTTTTTCGAAAGAAGTCTCTTATGCTCATTAAGGCTGCATTTATTTGATCAAATTATTATACAATTTTAATATTCTTACAATTAAAATTTTACAATTTACAAATGTAATATTACAATTTAATTAATATTTAATTACAATTAAAATAGTTTTCTATTTGAATATATTTTAAAAAGTAATGTATTCCTGTGGTGTAAAGCTGAATTTTCAGCATCATTACTCCTGGCTTCAGAGTCACGTGATCCTTCAGAAATCATTCTAATATGTAGTATAAAAAGGGAAAGGGATGAAGTTTCCCAGGATTCTTTGATGGGTAGAAAGTTCAAAAGAACAGAATTTATTTGAAATAGAAATATTTAGTTTTTGTTTGTTTTTGTCACTTTTGATCAATTTGTTGTCTCCTTGTTGAAAAAAAAAAGTATCACATTCTTCCAAAAAGGAAAAAAAAAATACTTGCTACCCCCAAACCTTTAAACTGTAGTGTAAACTCTCAGTAAATAAATAAAGAACAGCAGCTCAGTGGTGACTAAAACAATTGGGTCTCTATCACAAACAATTGTGTTGCAGTCCCCCCCCTCCCCCTCCTGTAAATATTAGTTTATTTATTCATCTGGTGTTTTGAGCACATTATATATATGGAGATTTAAATTTGATTTAAATTATTTCTCATCTTTTGCAGTATGCTTGCTATGCCATCGGGAAAGATGTGCAGGCAATGAAGGCTGTGGTTGGGGAAGAAGCACTGACATCAGATGACTTGTTGTACCTGGAGTTCTTACAGAAATTTGAGAAGAATTTTATTTCCCAGGGTAAGTATAGCAACAGTAGATTGCCTGTGGAATGATACAAAAAAAATCTCGTCTTAAGGCCCTTTCACATAAAAAATTTAACATCTATTCAGCTGTCCTCAACCAAGCACAAAACAAAGTTTTCTCAAAAAAAAAAAAAAACTTTCTCTTTCTCTGTGTAATATCAGTGTAAAAAGAAAAATATCCTAGAATAAAAAGGATGTACTTCTAAACAATTTGCAAAATGCTTGAGATTTCTGTCTAGATTTCAGTTAATTATAATTCTTTGTCTCTTGTTCAATGCTCAATGCTTGGCAAACAGTTTTCGAGGTGTAAGCACCTCAATGATTATAACTTATATTTGCCAACTGGTTTTCAGCACCGTACAAAGAAACAACTTTAGTTTGTCATCAAGCATATGTTCACCTCGGTGTAAATGTCACCTTAGGAATGCATTGATTGTATTGAAAAATGCTTTTTTTAGCTCTCATTATTCAAGTTTGGTGTGCAAGGATGTTTAGGAAGAAGAAAATATGGATAGGAAAAGGAAAAAAATGACATTTTTAAAAATTTTGAAAAGGCAATCCAAGATGTAGGTGAGTTTGTTTCTTCATGGGAACAGATTTGGAGAAATTTAGCATTACATAAACACATCACAATCCACAAGTAATCCACTCGAGTCCAGTCCATCAATTTATGTCTTGTGAAGTGGAAAGCTGTGTGTTTTTAAGAAACAAAGACATTAATTGATGAACTAGAGCCGTGTGGATTTCTTGTGTTGTTTTTATCAGCTGTTTGAACTCTCATTCTGATGGCACCCATTCACTGCATTGGTGAGCAAGTGATGTAATGTTACATTTCTCCAAAAAAACAACTCACCTCCATCTTTGATGACATGAGGTTGATATCTAATATGTAGTAATATATATAATTGTGTGAATGGCAACGGGCTGCACTATTATATAACTTCAGAATGAGCCTAACATGTTTTGTGCCACAGGTGCATATGAGAACCGAACTGTGTTTGAAACACTGGACATTGGCTGGCAGCTGTTGAGAATCTTCCCCAAGGAGATGCTGAAGAGGATTCCTCAGAGCACTCTGGCCGAGTTTTATCCCCGAGACTCCAAACATTAGTCTTACTTCCTACCTCGTTTATTCATTTTGTCGTGAATCTCACACAGCCGTGAATCTGTCCTCACACTTCTAGATGTTACTCGCTCTCTCTGCTCAGATCAAGTACACTGAGTCTACATTGATGGAATACAAAGTTGTTTTCATTGCTGCTCTTGGTATTTATTTATTATGTAAGTGTTGCTGAATAGTAAAGCAAATATTATATGAATATTGTTGCTACACAGAAAGTTGTGTGTGTGTGTGTGTGTGTGTAGCTCAGTGTGTCAAACTGTGTTCTGAACAATGCAGGAAAGGCCAATATTACTCTTTGCTGGCAAAATTTTAGAGCAACTGACAAAGCTACTACAAAGCAGCCTGTGTTTCAGAAGTGCCAAGTTAAATGTATAATGGCTTAATGCATTCTATGAATTTTTCATCGTTATAATAAATACACTATATATAAAAGTACATATTTAACATGAAGTATGAAAAGAAGCCATATGTTCATAGAATGCATTACAAAGGATTTGAAAAGCATAGTGGCTCAATCAAATCAAAGGACGAAAACCAAACACTGAGCAATAGATTTATCTTTTGTTGTGTACTGTTAGCTATTTTACATTTTGTATAAAAATTTGTAATTTTTGTTTGTGTAAGCAATATGTTTATTATAATTTTATTTTTGGTGCCATGAATATATGTACTGTGTTAAAGTGTGTGATAACAAGTGAATTCATAGTGAAGTGATTGTTGTCCTAATGCATGAACGCTATATTGAAAATATGTATGTGAACACTCGCTTCATGAAATAAACCTTGATGTGGTATAAATGAATGATCATGCTGATAGTAATTGAATATAATTAATGGTTTGGTGTTTTATTTTGATACTGATGTAATTTGCACAACAGTACTTTAGAAAATATGAAGTGCATACTCATTTAACCGGAAAATATTGTAGTATTGCTTAGCCATGTTCATGTAAAATACTAAGTCAAGACAAGGAAAAAAAAAAAAA